TTACTTGAACCATGGTCAACTACTTGGGAGTCCAGCAACATAACCATTATTCCATCTGCTGGTCCCAATTTTATATATGCAATCTTACACAAACACAGTTGTTTTTTTTTCTTGAGAGCTATGCTATAGGTATTGTGTGCTTGCTAGAGCGACAGAGACAGAGAGACAGTGAGAAATCGCCCCCCCAGGGAGGATGGCCACACCACAATCCTTTCTCCTCCATTATCCTCTCGGGATTCTGGGCATGTAAGCATACGCACCCAGTGTTAGTTTCAAACCACCAGGTCCAGGATTTGAACCTCGGTCGGCCATGTGGGAGTCCAGCAATGTAACCATTACACCATCTATTGGTCTCACAAAGTTTTCAAAGAACCATGGCATATAGTAAAATGATTGGCAAGCTGTTCTCAGAGGTGATTCCAGGAGCAGTGCAGGGGACGATGGGGAGGTAAATGGCAGGACTTCATCCTCAGTGTTCCTGTTCCAGAACTTCACTTTGTGTCTTTTACATATTGCATCTTTGTTTGGTTTAGTTTTGTTTTTGAGGTTTTGCCAGAAGGTGCATACACTCACCAGAGGGAGACAGAAAGAAACCACCCATTGTGTGAGGATTGTCACACAGTATCTGAGCTATACTAAAACTACCTAGAATTTAAAATTGTTTGGAATTATAGTTATAATCATAACAATTATGATTGTAGAGAAACCAATAAGCTTATCTTCCAGTGGTTTAGAAATGATTGCCTACTATGAACCTGTTTTATTCTGTTTGGGTTGTCTAGTTGTTTTATTCAGGATAATTGGATATTTGTTGACATTCTTACAAGATTTGTTATGAACTACTATTTTTAATTTCCTGGGTAACTGTCTCCTTGTGTACATTTGCCTGGCAGTATTGGGAATAAAGAATTTAGAAAAGTGCTCACTCACCCAAAGTGGAAGTGAGAAACTACCACAATTTAAAGTGAAAACATTTTAAAATGAAAAATACTCAGAAAAACTTATCAGATCCAACCACTACTTAGGCAGGGCCTATGATAAATGCAAATCACAGGCTTCCTCTTTCTTCTGCCACAAATGTCAGAAACGCTTGGCATCTGAGTGCGTTGCATTTTCTCCCCCTTTTCTGAACAGCTCAGCTTGGAAAGGTCAACATATCCCTTTGGGGGAAAAATCTTTTATTTAAAATAGGAATGTTTGTGCACGTAACTATAGGAAATGTCTCACATTTGCTTTGATGGAACAGCAATTTGTTCAATAGAGTGGAATTGTTCTTTTTTTCCATTTTCCTTCCTGTTTGTACATCACAGGCACCCGAATCACTGAAAGCAATTTTAAGGCACTTCTTTCTATGGGATCAGATCATCCTGTCCACGAAACCAGCCAACGCCTTGAGCTTCCGAAAGGCGAGTATGTTCCATCTTTTATTTACTCCAAGGGACTCATTTGTGAGAGGCTGTTCTGAATACAAGCAGTACTTTTCCACAAACTATACATGCTGAAACCCTGGTGAAAAAGGAAAGGAGTGGGGAGGGGAAGAGAAGAGGAAAACAATGACAAAAAGAACCACTGCCGTAGGATGTCCCCATTTTACCCTTGTGTATGTGTTCCAGTGTCGATAGGATATGCAGTATCCAGTCTCGAATGAGTTACTTCATTTGAATCTTTTAGGTTTTGTAAAGGATGTGGGATGTTAAAATAGCAAAGCAATTTGCTACTGGTGATGAACTGCTTCCAGTTTGATATTCAACATAAATATTTGAGGTTCATAGAGAATTCTTTCTCTTTAGAGCCTGTTCTTCCTACCCATCTTGAATTGATGAAGAGCAGTGCTGAGTTTGTGTGGTTATATTTGTTTCTGTAGCAACAAGCAGATACCAAAAATAGATGTAGGCTTTTTCTTAAAGTAAAAGTGCTTTAATTTAGCAATGACTAAAAATAAACATAAGGAGGGACTTTAAGATACGGATCCACGTGTTGGTCTGGGCTGGGCTGCAGGAAGGGACCTGAGTCAGCATGGTTCATTGTTTTGGGACACTTCCGATTATTCACCTCCAAAAATAGTTTCCCTTTCATTTCGGCCAAATCCCCCTACCTGTGACTAGTGCTATGAGGTTTGTGCATTGTGTGTACAAATGTGGATGTCCAAGGCACATGTGCATTCCATCAGAGTCTCCGTCAGAGACAGGGAATCAAACCACCTCTTTCTATACTTACCCTTCTGCCCTGGATCCTATCCTTCAACAAACCCTTTTTCTCCTATGTCATCAATTTCTTTCTCTTCATTGGCTCAATCATGAAAGCATACAGCATGTTCTATCTCTTCTCGATACTGAAAAATGAGAGAAACTCTTGACCTGATATCTTCTTAGAACTACCTTTCACTTCCCAACTTCCCTTCACAGTAAAAACAAGTTTTAACAGACAACTAAAAATAAAAACCGGGAACCAGCAGTTAGTGTAATGGCTATGTCGCTGGACTCCCATGTAGTCGACCGCAGTTCGCGTCCCGGACCCGTGGCTTAAAATTCACGCCAGGCGCATGTGCGTGTGTGCCCAAGATCCTGAGAGGAGAATGGAGGAGAAGGGATTGCGGCATGACCATCCCCCCTGGGGGGTGATTTCTTGCTTTCTGTCTCTATGTCTCTCTTTCTGGCGAGCGCACGTGCCCTATAGCGAAAACCTCTCAAAATAAATAAATGAATAAATAAATAAATAAATAAAATTAAAATAAATAAATAAATAAAAAATAAAAACCAAGGGGCCAGCAGGTGGCATGGTGGTTAAGGCCCTGGACTCCCACATGACCAACTGTGATTTGAGTCCCAGAATCCATCTATGTCTCCAGTAAGCACTTGTGCCCTATAGCAAAAACCTTACCAAAAAAGAAAAAAAAAATGTAGCTGCATCTACCACATTTATTTCTACTTTTTCTCTCTTCCATTCACTCAGTCCACTTTAATCTGGTTTCCCTCTCTGTTTCTCCAAAGGGAAAAAAAGAAGTTTTTTTTTTTTTTTTTTAAAGAGGTTTTTGTGAGAAGACATGTACGCTTGCCAAAGAGAGAGAGACAGTGAGAGGGAAAGTGAGAAATCACCCTCCTCCAGAGGCGATGGCCACACCCCAATCTCTTCTCCTCCTTTCTCCTCCTGGATTCTTGGACATGCACTCACACGTGCCAGGTGTGATTTTCAAGTTACCCAGTCCAGAACTAGAACTGTGGTCAACCATGTGGGAGTCCAGTGATGTAACCACTACATCTGCTGGCCCCTCAAAGAAATTATTGACAAAGTTGTTAAGTCTTTCCCAGCCTTTACTTGGCATTCCACATGAACGATTCTTGTCTACTCCAGCCTCCCTCTCCTTGCTCGTTCTGCTGGAACCACATTGTCCTCATTGACGCTGACATGCTCAGCCCTCTTACGCATTGGATCTGTTTGCAACATTTTACCCCACATCTTCATATGCCTGATTTTTAAAAATACATTTGCATGTTATTTCTTCAGGGATAAGTTCTTACCTTTGCCAGTCTTGGTCAAAAGACCTTATGTATTTCCTCCACAGCACTTCCCACTATTGTTGTTAGGTTCTCTGTTCTTCACAGACTCAGAATGTAAGCTCCCTGAAGGCAGAAACTTTGTCTCCTTCTGTTACAGTGTCTAGCTAGTATCTGAGTACCCAGTAAGAATTTGTTGGATGAATTAATTTATTCAGCAGCTATTTTTTAGACCTCGTAAATGTGTCAGGTACTGTTTGAAATTCTTGACATACATTTGTGAACAAAACAATACAGATCTCTGTCCTCATAGGGCTCATATTTCAGAAGGGGGGAGTGAGATGGGTAATAACTAAGACTTAAGTTATTTTTAAAAATGGGGAAAAAAAGTTTAAATGTGGTAAGTGCTATGGAAGAAGAATCCCTGGGTGAGAACTGAGGATCGACTCCAGGTCTTTCCATTTGTATGGTAAAGCAGAAAAGGCATTTGCTTTGCAGATACTTGAAATCCTGGCTTCTGAAGATGAATTAGGAGATCCTGAGCATTTTTGCTATTTTAAGCTTGACTCCCTTATCTCCAAAAGAGAATACACATCTCACAAGGTTGGTGTGAGGTATAAATGAATTAACATAGATGGAATATTATCCCACTCCTTCCCAGCCACCCACCCCAATCCTGTTCTTCCGGCAGAAGGAGGGCACGTGGCACCACCATGTTCTCCCTCCCCTGTCCACCTAGCATGCTTAAAACAAGACAAACCTGGCTTTCGTGAAAAACCCAGTACAGGATTACTGAATAAATATGTAGTAAATATGTGGCCACACATGTTTATGGGTCATTTAAAAGCAGACAAGTGATGGGAATTATTTTTATTTAGAAACTTTTTTTTTAAGTCAAGGTAGGAAATTACCACCTTTAGTAATTATTTTTCCTTTTTTTTCTCATTTTTCAAATTAGTTCTAATTTTACAGACTCCTGTTGATCATTATGGACAAGCTACTATTTCATCTTCATTATTACATACAGAAGTAAACTCACAGATGTAACTATTTTATAGGAGGATAAAACATTTATTTAAATGGAAACACTAAACTTTACTTTCATCATGCTGAAGGGTGTGCTTACAAACGATTTCCAATAAAACACTATATATAGTAAGCAAAAAATAAGTTAGTACACTGTAAACTTACATACGGTTTCATCAATTAACAGGTTTAAGAACAAACAGCCATTTAAGACTTTGGAGCTACATTTAGTAAAAAATTGCAAACACTCAAACCTTATCAACCCCCAGTAAGACACTAAAGAGCTATTCAAGACTTCTTCAAACCAATTACACAAATACATTTTTATTTTTGGTTACAGTCCCCTGCTATGCACAAGACCATTGGAATGCTGGAACAATTACACATTTTTTAAAACGGCACAAAGCAAAGCAAGGAGATAACATGCCAGCCTTAGAGAAGCTGTCTTGAAAGTGCAAACTTTGCATTTTCGCTTCCTGAACCACTAGGATAAGAACAGGTACCTCAGACGACACAGCAGGGTCAGGAGCATGCTTTCTATACCACACCGGTGACATTTACTGGAACCAGGTCTCCATGCCTTTGAAGATGCCTCCGGTTTTAAACAGTGAACAGGCGTCAACTAAACATAGTGCAAATCAAATACCAAGGAGCAAAACGACAGAATAGAGACCACCACAGATCGACCTGCTGTTTCTCCACCTGGTACTATGCCACATGGGACACATTGGCACACAGCAATCACTTCTATTTAAGTTTTCATATGGAAGGCGGTACGACGGAGTGAATGCAGGGCGACCACACAGCAGCCCCGGAGCAAGGCTCCAATGTTGTAGACAGGATCTATTCCCCCTCTCTGAGTACTGAATGCCCACAGAACAGTGGGGACCACCGGGGCAGCCACAGCCAGGAGATCCACCAAGAAACTGCTGCTCCAGTACTGCCTCACGACGGCTCCCCGAGACAGCGGGATGATACCATCCAACCTTTCTTCTGTGTAGGCCGCAAAATCCAGCTCTCTCATGAGGCGGTTTGCATGAACTTCCATATCCACCTTGGTGCATGGGGTCTCCACGGGAGACAAAAGGATGGCAGAGTTTGGATTTCTCGGTGTTAAATCAACCACTAAGGCAGAGATGGATTCTGGGAAGCTCTCTGTTGAGTCAGCCCCAGAATCATCAGGGGATGCTGAGCTCGAGGAACAGGGGTCTTGGAGCTTGAGCATACTCTGGACGAGCTCTGAGACTGCAGGGCTATATGGCACCACATCGGTCTGGACGGCTTGCTCTACCACCACACTGCCTTCCTCCTGACCTGCTGCCATGGGGAACATCTCAAGGACTTTTACCCCAGGGGTGGAATGAACAAACTCCAGGTCACCAGATTCTGTGGTGGTAGCTGTCACCATCTCATCAAACATATCTGTGCCGTCGGCCATGCTATCTCCCACCAGCAGCTCGCTGTCAGCCCCCTCCTCCGTGACCTCCTCTTCCAGAGACAACCCATCTGCCATCTTGCCGAAAGAGGTGTTTAAGGTTAAACTTTTCTCTGGGGAATCACAGAAGTCTAGACACAGTTCATCCCTCAGAGAGCCATTGTGTGCCATCTCCATGCTCTGAAGGAGAGACTCCAACTTCTTGTTTTGGATGTTTATGTCCACAAAGTATTTCTGAATGCCTTTGTCTTTATCAGCCAAGTTGCTTCTCATAGTTTCAATGACTTGTTTGAGCTGTTTAATCTCTTTCTTGGCTTCCTTGAGTGCTAGCTGGGCTTCTACCCGGTGGCACTCTTCTTCAATCCAGTCTTCTCGCATTCGGGCTAGCTGGGACTTCAGCTCCACAATTTCAGTTTCCCTAGAGTGGGACGACAAACACAGTTAAAGGGTAGGTCAACTCTGAAGCAGGTGAAAATCAAGTCTGATACACATGCTCTTCCACTTGAAATATAGAAGTTAAATTAATTTTGAAATTTCTTTCTTTGCCAAGTATTAATTAGTCATGGACTTTCCCCTTGTAAAATAGCTGAAGTAGTAATAGTAATCAGAATCAAAATAAATACCATCGTTTTCTTCTTCTTCTTCTTCTTCTTCTTCTTCTTCTTCTTCTTTTCTTCTCCTCCTTCTTTTTCAGAGCTCATTATGTGTCAGGTACTCAATACTCACTATATGTCATTAAGTACCTTACAGCATTATCTTCTACTCACTACTTAATATTTGAAATTTTATTATTAGAGTACATCAGTCTCTGCCTTTATCACCATGGTCTACCTTTTCATAATACCTACAATGTTATGTGGAAGCAAATTCCATTTCTTTTTTTTTTTTTTTTGGAGAGTTTTTTTTTTTTTTTTGAGAGTACTGTAGGGCGCGTGCGCTCGCCAGACAGACAGAGAGAGACATAGAGACAGAAAGCGAGAAATCACCCCCCAGGGGGGATGGTCACGCCGCAATCCCCTCTCCTCCATTCTCCTCTTGGGATCTTGGGCACGCACGCACACGCGCCCGGCGTGTTTTTTAAGCCACCGGGTCCGGGACACGAACCGCGGTCGACTACATGGGAATCCAACGACATAGCCATTACGCTAACTGCTGGTTCCCGAGAGTTTTTCACTGTAGGACACGTGCGCTCGCCAGACAGAGAGAGCTTGCAACTACTGCCGTTAGAGCTCTGTTCGTCTGTTTCAAAATATTCCAAGGGAAAACCATCAAGTATAAAATTGGCCTGCCCCCAAGATGTCCAAGGTCTTTTCTCCCTGAGATAACATCTTTTAAGCATGGGCTGAGGGTTTTTTTGTTTTTTTTTTTTTTTTTCTTCACCATAACACTTGGCCAAGAATAATGTACCTTTTCCTTCAGCTCAGAAGGAGCTTGCAGGAATTATAGTGTACACAGACGTTCACTTTCGCACACAGATAAACAGGGCTTAAAGGGACCACTCTGTGCAACCATTCTGATGAAAGTATGAGACTGCAAGTGTTTCTGCCATTTAAAAATAATCATGCACATATCTAATTTTTCTTGAAAGACAGCAGGCCCTCTTTAACGTACTAGACTCCTTGAATTCCTAAAACATTCAAGTCACACAGCATTATAAAATGACTTTATATAGAGACAGATGCAAGAAATTTGACACAAATTAAATACTTTAATTTTTATTTTTCTGTAGTTTGGGTTTCTATTTCATTTTATTAGTAAATAAACTATCCTAAACCAGGCTGTGTAAGATATGCGTATTCACCTTTCATGAAGTCGGCGCTCGGATTCCTTCAGCTTGGTCTTCAGGTGTCTCACTGTAACCTCTTTCTGTTGCAATGGAGTCAAATACTGCTCTGGATTTGGTGGTTTGACACCATGATTTTCTCCACAAGACATGTACCGTCCAGACCGCCTGAAATAATCAAAGTAATGAGTTGTTACTTTTTACCCTGTTTTTATTTTTTTTCTATAAAAAGAAAAGTAACTCCCCCCTCCACTTCATATCTTGAAATCCTAATCCACAATGTGATGGTATTAGGAGGTGGAACCTCTGCAAAGCAGAGGCCTCATGAAGCGTATTAGTGCTTTTATATGAATAAGAAAGAAAGCCCAGAGAGCTCTCAAGTGTTCTCTTCCCTGAGGATACCACAAGAAGTGGGCAGTCTACAGCCCAGAAGAGGATCCTTCCCAGACCATGTTGGCACCTTTAGCTCAGACTTCCAGTCTCCAGGACTGTGCGAAATATATTTCTGTTGTGTCTAAGCCACCCCGTCTATGTATGTTACTATAGCAGCCCACACTGTCTAAGACACACAGCGAACAGCTTGAGAAGGAATGGCAGTTGTGTGGTAGGATCTTAAACCTCAAGAGAGAGCACCCTCACTTCAGAAGGTGGACTGTAATAAACAATCTCAGGACTGTTGATTACTTGGAAGATTAAGTGGTGTGTGTATGCACGTTTGGTGTGTGTATGCACGTGTGTATGTTTAAGTGTGGCAGGGGGTGGTAGAGGCAGTGGAGATAGGATTTTCTATGGCTTAGGAATGATCTCAAAATAATACGAAATAATAATGCCCAACTGTCTACAGGCCCGAGCTGTCAGTTCAGAGTGACATGCTGTTATATTAAAGGACAATAAGTGGGGGGATGGGAGGTAAAGAAAGGAACATGACGCCCTAACTTCCACACAATGTGCTATTGCCTAAAGATCCTTACTGCTATTAGTTGAATTCAGATGTTCTAAAATCATTCCCTGGTGTGAGTATGCTGACTTATTGGAAATGGAAAGTTCCTTCTTCTGAAGGGAACAAGGCTATTCCACTCTCACCAGTGTGCTTTGTAAAAGAAGTGCACCGTGTTTTACAAAACAGCCCCTAACTGGAATCTTGGCCCCTGTCAGGCCAGACCAAGAGCTGGACATCCCTCCTGCAAGAGAGCTGACTAATGAGAACAGGGACACCCAGAAGGAAGAAGAGGAGAGAGGAGAGCTGCCAGCTTCTTCCCTGACTCTGGAACCAATCCAAGCCACTGCACTGCCCTGCTCCCCGCCGTACCTGAATTCCGTCCAAGATGGCCTGTGTCCAGTTCCCAACCCTCCAGCTCTCCTGCCATGGCCCCTTTAGATGTGCATTTCTTCTTTCTGCTCCACACTCCTCCACACCTCATGCTAATTAACTCCTTGTGTGCCTTTCAGATCTCGCTTCAATTTCATTTCCTCAGGGAGGCCTCCCCTGAACCTTCCAGACTGCGATGAACCCCCTCCTGACCTTTAACACACTCCTATAGCAACAGGTACTTGCAGAATCACCATTTGTGTTTGTTATTGCATAGGGAACTTCTTTCTCCTCTGGGTGGTAAGCGCAGATGCCATCTCTGTTGTTCAAGACTCTGTTCCCAGTGCTTACACAGTACCTGATACTCAATAAATATTTGGTGTTGGAATGAATGAATGAATAAACACACATGTATGATTCTTCCCTGTTCTGAGGGAAATGAGTAGGCCCTCTCCTCCTGCCACTGTGCCATTTTCCCTCCCTATCCAATAACTGCTTGGACTGCTGTACCTGGTTAGAAATTGTGGCTTGCGCTCTTTCTGCAGCAGCCCTTGAAGGATTAGCTGAGTGTGGAAAAGGAAAGAAAAGTGTCTTATTGCAGAATAAGGCAGAGGATCAAGAGTTGTATACTTTTTTTCTTTTCTTTTTTAAAGAAAAGCTTATCGAGAAAGAAAAACTAAGAAGCATGAATGAGGAGGTAAACAGGACTCACCTCATGATCGGGCTGCAGTCACTTCCTTTGTAGGAGCCCGAGTTGCTACTGCTAGGGGAAGAGGGTGCATAGCTGGGATGGATGTTGACAGGGCTCAGCTGATTCCGGCAGAGCATGGAGAGGAGGTCCTTTTCCCGCGGGGATGGTGGGCTGCTGCCAGACTTGAATGATGAAGCTCCATTACTGCGCCCATGGGGGCCTCGACTGGGAAAAAAAAGCACATAAAAACTGCAGAAATCCTCAGGGCTAGAGATGCCCACATGCTAATGTCTGACTCCTTCTTTTTTTTCTTTTTTTTGGAGAGGTTTTCGCTATAGGGCGTGTGTGCTTGCCAGACAGAGAGAGAGAGACATAGAGACAAAAAGCGAGAAATCACCCCCCAGGGGGGATAGTCATGCTGCAATCCCTTCTCCTCCATTCTCCTCTTGGGATCTTGGGCACGCATGCATAGGCGTGAGTTTTAAGCCACGAGTCTGGGACACGAACCACGGTCGACTATGTGGGAGTCCAGTGACATAGCCATTACGCTAACTGCTGGTTCCTCTGACTCCTTCTTGAAGCTAGTCACCACTAAAGAAATCCAAGTTATGGAATTAAATGGGCAATAGAGTTACTGGTGCCAACTGTCCTTGTGAGTAGCCTCCTTCCCACTTGCCTGATATTTTCTCTCCTTGTTTCATGAGCACAAACAACCTCTTCTTCTGCTGCTCTTTCAAATAGTGTCTGGCCATTAAACTCATTTTGGATGAGACCCTAACTGTTATTAGTTGAGTTAGCTGAACTGCCTGCTAAGAGCACACACCATGTAAAATACCGATTTGGCTTGGATTTATTGGGGAGGCTGTTTTGAAGATGTGGGTTTTGTTCTAGTACACCTGCTTCAGTTTAGAAATATTTGAGTTTGGTTCATGTTAGGGTAAGAAAATTAAGGTGATTCCCTTGGAGGATGGGAGTTGCCCAAAGAAAACAGGACAAATAAGAAGAACCCATGTAAATCTATCAAGCCTATCATTGTTACAACTTAATTTTAATTTTTTCCCTTTTCTTTCTAGCTCCAGCGGCTTAATCTTTACCACTTAACTTTTGCAATGTTGTAGGAGCCACTCTTATTTTCCCTGCCCCTTGCCCTACCCTCTCCAGCAAGAGACTGAGCTGTGGCTGGAGTGGCCTTTCTAAACTGAAATATGAATACCTCTGCCCTTCTTAAAGCTACTCAATCATTCCCCACTGCTTCTAGAATAAAGGCCAGACTCCTTACAGTGGCTCGTGAGATCCAGTCCCAGCATCCCTTCTAATCCCATCCTCCATCTTCTCTCTTCCTCCTGTCCTCCAGCGTTCCTGAGGACTTAAGTTCCCTGAAGGAGCCATGCTCTCAATCATCTATGTGTTTGAACTTGCTATTTCTTCTCCCTAGAATGTTCTCTTCCCTTTTCTCAGCTTCTGACACTAGGATATGTCTTACCTTAAAACTGAAAGGAGCCCACTCGAAGCAGCCTTTTTTGAATTCTTCCTTCCCTAGGCCACTCCTTGGTGCTCTCTAAAACTCTGTGCAGACTTCCACCATGGAATGTATCACACAGCATCACAAATGCATACTTGTTTGTCTTTCCCACTAGACTGAGGCGTCCTTGAAGGTGGAAATCCACCTGTTCTCCCATGCCTCCACTACATCCTGCTGCACAGTGGTGCTCCCTAAACGCCTGCTCAACGAATAACCTGGCTTCAGTCCTGTCATTGGCACTTACTAAGAATTCAGGCAGCAAGCCACTTAACATATGGGGAGATTACGTACATCACACTAGGAATCTCAGTGGTAAATTTTTCAGATAATAACCACAGGCATACACAGTACCTAATATACCTGTTCACAAATCCAAAGTGATGTTCCGTCTGTGTAAACTAGAGATTTCTGTAAAGTTAAAATATCTGAGTTGTAATCCCAGTTCAGCTACATGTTTTCTTCTTGTGCCTCAGTTACTCTACATGTGACAGATAACCAGCTTTATGGGAGGATGGTCAAAGTAAAGTGACACAGTCTTCATAAAGCATCTAAAGTAGTGCCAGGGACACAGAAGGTCCTCAGCAAAGGTTAGCTCAGAATTCTCCGGGCTAGGTCTTCCACATTCTTTCCCAACTCAAAGTGGTTAACTTTCACATTTCTCACAGCCACATTAAGAAATGATCAGGTTGGTTGGTGCCAGACTTAGAAATGAAGGATGGAAAAGAAAATCCAAGCCAGACTTCCTTTCAACTACTCATGAAGTCCTTCCCACCCCTGAGCTGCTGAGGTTGGTTTGTCACACAGCCATCTGCCCATCTGTTCCACATAAAGTGTCCTCTTTTCACAAAAAGTAGAAAGAATCCATTGGGATGATTTCAAAAGGAAAGAACTTTTGACTTTAGAATTTTGTGATGTTTTATTTATGTGTGATTTGCTGGGTTGACAGTTGGTTGAAATTATATTTTATTTTAAATAAATAATTAGGGATTTGGAGCCAAGGATACCCACATGCATACTCGCATTCACATGGTTCTCATTAAGATGTGTCAGTTGGATACAGCTGTAATTAAAATTGCAAAGGACTGTCAAAAAGCAGTACTGCTATGAGAAAGGTATCTTATTCTCTTTCGTTTTCTTATAATATCATCAAGTTATATTCTTAAAAACAGAACTGTTAACCTATTTAAGTAAGTTTAACATTCTCAAAATGCTTCCTTATACTAATAGGTGTCAAATCTCTGGAACTAGATTAACAGGAAAGTCCAAACAAGCTTATCCTGTAAGAATAGCCTGCACTTAACACTTTGTTGAGTGCACCCGCGTGCCTTTTTAAAAGTTTGATTTTCATATCAACTCTGTGAGGAAGGCAGGAAAAGTATGTACAAGTGTCAGGACCAGCAGTTAGCATAATGGCTATGTCTGTGGACTCCCATGTAGTCGACTGTGGTTCGGGTCCAGGACCCAGTGGCTTAAACTCATGCTGGGACATGTGCATGTGTGCCCAAGATTCCGAGAGGAGAACGGAGGAGAAGGGATTGTGACATGGCCATCTCCCCTGGGAAGTGATTTCTCTCTGTCTCTCTTTCTGGCGAGTGCATGTGCCCTATAATAAAACATCTCCAAAAAAAATTATGCACAAGTGGCATGTGTGTGTGTGGTGTTATCTAATTTGTATGCCACTAATCATGTACTTGAGTGCATATACATATATGTGGTGCATGCACTCAGGTATATGATTAATAACAAACAAATGAGATGAGTACAAACAAGTGTGTAGATATATGCGTGTGTGTGTGTGTGTGTGTGTGTGGTTATATGGGGATATTGCGAGAACTCATCAGCTACAGGGAATAAAGCAAAGACTCTCCAAATAAAAAAGTACTGCTAAAGTACAATCAAGGCTTTTTTTTTTTTTTTTTTTTGAGAGGTTTTTGCTATAGGGCACGTGCGCTAACCAGAAGACAGACAGAGAAAGAGACAGAGAGTGAGAAATCACCCCCCCTCCCCAGAGGATGGCCACACCGCAATCCCTTCTCTTCCATTCTCCTCTCAGGATCTTGGGCATGCATGCACACGCACCCGATGTGAGTTTAAGCCACCGAGTCTGGGACTCAAATGGTGGTTGACTACATGGGAGTCCAGTGACATAGCCATTACTCCAACTGCTGGCCCCTAAGTACAACCAAGTCTTGAAACATTTCAGGAATTAAATATCAGATTGTTTGTAATAGCTAACCTTAAAAAAATAAAATCACATGCTTAAAACTCTGTTCCTTTTATATAGTTTGGGTCAAAGGCTGACATAGATAGATGCAAACTCATACATGACAATTAAAAAAATCTTTAAAGGTGAAGCTGAGATTTCATGTTTGTCTTGGCCATGAACAGGTAAGCCCAGTGTAACCCTCTTCAATCTGTCTGGTGGACAAGAAGAATGTAGTCCACAAAAGGGAGAAAAAGTTCAGCTGACCCTGCACCCTTCCTGCACATGAATACAACAACTAGAAAGTGAGAGGAAAGGAGAAATGAGGAGGGAAACCACACAAGGGACCCAGGTGAATTTCTATTCCCTTGCCGTGGCCTTATACTTCAAGTAATATTACTACCACCACCATCCTCACCACTGCTATGGGCTGAACTTCCTTCCTCCCTCCTCAAATTCATATGTTGAAACCCTAACTTCCAGTACCTCAGAACATGACTGTATTTGGAGCTAGGACTTTTAAAGATGCAATTAAGTTAAAATGAGGCAATTAGGGTGGGCCCTAATCTAATTTAACTAGTGTCCTTATAAGAAGAGATTATTAGGACACTGACATGAACAGAGAAAAGATAATATAAAAATACAGGGAGGTGTCCATGCACAAGCTAAGGAGAAAGGCCTCATAAAAACCCAACCCTATAGACACCTGGACCTTGGACTTTGGCTTCCAGAATTGTGAATAAATCAGTCACTGTTGTTTAGACCATCCAGACTGTGGTATACTTTATTATGCCCTAGCAGTGAATATAACCACCGCCACCATGACCATCAGCAGCTGCAACATGTCTGGGAGTGTTACTTTCACCACTACTGACAAAAACCGTGTATTGACCCTTTTCCTCAATTCTCGGCACCATGTTAAGCAATCGCATATATACTAGCTCATTTAACACTGTGAGGTAGATGCCATTATTACCCCCATTTTCCAGAACAGGAAACTGGAGCTCGGAGTCATCCACCTAATGAACAATGGAGGCTAACCTCAAGCCAGGACTGTCTGATTCCAAATCTCAATCTTCCCAGCTCCACTTTTATCTGCTTCTAAACAGATTAGCCTTTTAGGGTTGGTTTATTTGTTTTTGAGATTTCTGCCTTAAGGCATGTGTGCTCACCAAAGAGAAAGAGAGAATATGAGACAGAAAATGAAAATCATGCTCCAAGAAGGGATGGCTATGCTGCAGTCCCTACTCCTCAATTCTCCTTCAGGGATCTTGGGCATGCACACACATGTGCCTGCCATGATTTTCAAAGCACCGGGTCCAGGACTTGAATCACGGTTGAATCATGTGAGAGTCTTGGGACATAAACACTGTGCCATCTGCTGACCCTTTGCCTTCTAGTTTTAAGAAAGAATTCCGCAGAACAGCAGAATGGGCCTTCTATGCATAGAAAAACACAGAAAAATAATTCCAACAACCTAATATGCCCTTTGCCTTCTAGTTTTAAGAAAGAATTCCACAGAACAGCAGAATGGGCCTTCTAAGCATAGAAAAACACAGAAAAATAATAGCTTTTCCAACAATCTAATATGAGATGATTAGCAAGTTTTTAAATATCCATTTTAAAAATCACCTGTCAAAATTATTCTCACCAACTCCACCTGTCCCTCATGTCTCCTGCTCCTTCACCAAATGTTCTCACAAGCCCTCCTCCTAAGAGCTATTTCTCCACAGAAAAAATTCATTACTACAGGAGGAACTAGCCTATTCAAAGGCTCACAAGCTACTACAGAGTTTGGCAAGGACACCCAGCCCATCTAGCGAAGTCCTCAGTACACGGCCCAGTGCAAGATCATGTGACCTGCTTGAGATCGTGGAAATTGACAGATGGTGCTCTGTGCCTCGGTCATCCAAAAAAACGTGAGGAAAATGGATAGAATATTGCCACTTTCAATGTTCCATCTAGGAATTTATGTTAACTCTTTGAAGTCTATTATTGCTTGGCTATAAGAGAGTCTGGTATAAGCATATATCTGATTTATATGTAATTGTATTTAGTTATTTTATATTTCATATATTAATTTTTTCCCAGAGGGAACATATGCCTACTAGAGAGATAAAGAGAGATAGCGAGGGAGGGAGGGAGGGAGAGAGAGAGAGAATCCATGAATGGGGCATGGTCACATTGAAATCCCTTCTCCTCCATTTCTCTGTCCTATCAGGATTTGGGGCACACGTGAACTCACACATGACTGGCATGTTTTTTAAGTCACTGGGACTAGGATTCAAACCATGTATCCAGCCATGATGGATTAGGTTCCTTTAATCAGCAGGCCACAGGGCCAGCCTAGTATATCGATTTTTTTTTTATCAATTTTTGATCACTAAAAGAAATAATTAATTTCAGACTAGATTGTTTTCCCTAAGTCACTCTGTATTATTGACATAACTTTTGAATTTAACCCTTTGGAATGTTTATGACTTTTAGAAGTCTTCTTTTTTTGTTTCTCTGTATGTTCTTTGATACCTTATACCATAGGTATGTGGTAATTTCTTGAATGGGTTAGTAAATGGTTTATTGTCAGAGCAGGACACATTTGATTTATACTATGAATGTTTATATTCATGCCATATGTTCCCCAAAGCACTTTATTTCCAAATAGAGGGAATCTGGGATAGGGTGATTATGCTTTTTTATAGCAGAATTATTTTGCTACAGGTTTGTCTGGCATAAGTTTTATTTTTAGTGCTACAACTGTGCACTGGGGTCTCAGATCTCTTTACAAACATCAGCCATATATTCTAGTTCACCCAAGAGAAATAGGAAATATTTTCTTGCTGAGTCCGGAAAATGTAAGCTTTTAGAAACTAAATAGTTCTTCTCAAGGAAGGAACCTTAAAAATCATATAGTCCTTGGGCTAGCTGGTGATGTGGAGGTTAAGGTGCTGGATTCCACATGGTCAATTTTGTGGTCTATGTTCCAGACCCAGCAGCTTGAGAATCACACCAGGTGTGTGTGTGTGTGTGTGTGTGTGTGTGTGTGTGTGTGCATGCATGCACAAAGTCCTGAGGAGATGGGATTACAGTGTGGCCATCCTCCCTAGTGAGCAGTTTCTCACTTTCTTTCTCTCTCTCTCTCTGTTGAGTGTCCATGCCCTATAGCAAAAAACAAACAAAAAACCGTGTAGTCCAACTTCCTGTTTACAAATTTGGACACTGTGGCCCAGGACAGTCAAGCCATCCCCAGATGGCAAAGCTCTCCCTGCAGTTTCCTCCAGATCCCTGCTCAGAGCTCAGCTCATCTCCTGGAACCAGCCTTCTTACACTACAAAGCACACCCCATGACTCCCTAAATCCTTGTGCTGCATGTTTTTAAAATAAGTATATTATTGATCTCTTTAATGTCTTTCCTGCCATACTAGGTCGAATACATAATGGGGTTTTGTTTCTTGTCACATGGATCTCCAGAAACTGCCTCACAGTAATGCTCAGTGAATATTTGTGGAGTGAAGAAACAAAGCCACTGGCTGCAAGCAGAAGATCCTGCAGCTTATAACCTCTCCCATTAAATGTGATCAGTGGCCCCCATTATCCACAGTTCTTCTCTCCTCAAATTCAAACAACATCGATTGTGAACTTTCACTGATGCTCATTATGTTCCAAGCACCAACCTAGCACCTTACCTATATTACCGCATTTAATCCCCATAAACCCTATAAGGTAAGCATGACTATGGCTCTGTTTTGCAGATGAGAAAACTGAGGCATAAAGTTAAGCAACATGCTCAGAGCCACCCAGCCTGCAGGTGGCAGCACTGGCATCCTCACCACCGCAGCCCGGCCTCAGCGCTCACACAGGAGGCTACTAAAACAAATGGAAGCTCAGCTAGAGGAAAGAAGAGGTGAAGTCAGAGGTGTCACGGAAGAATAATAGGTTCATTAAGGGGAGTTGGTGGGAAGTGGAAGACAAGAACTGAATACACAGGTGAGTGAGGGAAAG